ACAGCACTGACCACGATTTTACACCTGCTCCCTATGGCCTGATGCAAAATGCAAACTTGTCAGATCTTCCTTAGAGTTCTCCAATAATCCCTGGTCTTTCTCTGTTCCCTCCCTACCCCAAAACCATCATTTGCTTTGTCAGCAGCTACTCACGGCCATGAGACTCTTTGGACTTGCCAGTCCTCTGCCTTGGAATGCTCTCCCTTACTCAGATTATTAATAAGTGGACCCTCAGAATCAGAAGGGACCTTGTGGATCAAGACCAATCTCCTACCTGGAGCTGGAAATCTCTTTTTTTTTTTTTTTTTTTGTGATACGTGGGCCTCTCACTGTTGTGGCCTCTCCCGTTGCAGAGCACAGGCTCCGGACGCGCAGGCTCAGCGGCCATGGCTCACGGGCCCAGCCGTTCCGCGGCATGTGGGATCTTCCCAGACCGGGGCACGAACCCGTGTCCCCTGCATCGGCAGGCGGACTCTCAACCACTGCGCCACCAGGGAAGCCCTGGAAACCTCTTTAGAACATCCTTGATCCACCATCAACCAAGCCCTGCTTTGAAAACGATCCTTCATTTTCCACTTAAAATTATTAAAAACTTACCTCTGTTACGAAACCTGCCCTCATTAATAAATAAAGGCATTCATTCCCTCACTCGTCTTTGTTTATCAGACATGTTGAGTGCCTGTCACGTGCCAGGGAATGTGCTGGGTTCTGGGGAACATGAAAAGTCATGGGCCTCACTCACTGCTCTTTAGATGGGTCTGCAGAAGAACGGCTATTTCCGTAATTCTGTAAGATACACCATCAGTGTGTGCACCAAATGCAACACTGGGACAGAAAAGCAAACAGTTAATGATTCCTCTCAGCAGGAATGGGGCTAGGAAGACTTCACAGAGGAAGCACTGTGAAAAGCTAAGTCTTAAAGGATGAGTCTGGAATATTCACGTCAACAGGTAGAATGAGGTGGGCATGGGGGCTGGGAATCTCAAGCTGAATGCACACTGACCATTCTTTCATTACCACTTGACTTCAGGGTAATAAATAACTGGTACCCATTGGAAGAGTATTTCGTACATGGTCTATGGCGAAGGGAATTGGTCTAGTCCTTTCAGAAAGCAATTTGGTAAAACAAATCAAGAACCATACAATGGCCATCCTTTAGATCTAGCCATCACATCTGGGGGAGTATATCTTGAGGAAGTAATTACAAATGTGGAAAAGATTACATGCATGAAAATAATATATACTGGATTTGTGAAAATAGGGGAAAAATTGGAAACTGAGCCTCCAATTCACTTCCTTGGAAGATAGGTAAATAAACTATGATCCATTTATTAGAGGGTTGATTTATTATGCAGCTGTTTGTTTTAAATATTATATGACAATTTGGAAATATTTATTCATATAAGGCTAACTGAAAAAAGAGAAATGTGTGCATATGATCACAACTTTATTTTTTAACTCATAAATATTTAAAATATTTAAATGTTTAACATATGTGTTACTCTTAGAGGAAAACATAGGCAGTAGACTCTATGACATAAATCACAGCAAGATCCTTTTTGATCCACCTCCTAGAGAAATGGAAATAAAAACAAAAATAAACAAACGGGACCTAATGAAACTTAAAAGCTTTTGCACAGCAAATGAAACCATAAACAAGAAGTAAAGACGACCCTCGGAATGGGAGAAAATATTTGCAAATGAAGCAATTGACAAAGGATTAATCTCCAAAATTTACAAGCAACTCATGCAGCTCAATACCAGAAAAACAAACAACCCAATCCAAAAATGGGCAGAAGACCTAAATAGACATTTCACCAAAGAAGATATACAGATTGCCAACAAACACATGAAAGAATGCTCAACATCACTAATCATTAGAGAAATGCAAATCAAAACTACAATGAGATATCATCTCACACCGGTCAGAATGGCCATCATCAAAAAATCTACAAACAATACACGCTGGAGAGGGTGTGGAGAAAAGGGAACCCTCCTGCACTGTTAGTGGGAATGTAAATTGATACAGCCACTATGGAGAACAGTATGGAGGTTCCTTCAAAAACTAAAAACAAAACTACCATATGACCCAGCAATCCCACTACTGGGCATATACCCTAAGAAAACCATAATTCAAAAAGAGTCAGTACCACAATGTTCATTGCAGCTCTATTTACAATAGGACATGGAAGCAACCTAAGCGTCCATCGACAGATGAATGGATAAAGAAGATGTGGCACATATATACAATGGAATATTACTCAGCCATAAAAAGAAACGAAATTGAGTTATTTGTAGTGAGGTGGATGGACCTAGAGACTGTCATACAGAGTGAAGTAAGTCAGAAAGAGAAAAACAAATACCATATGCTAACACATATATATGGAATCTTAAAAAAAAAAAAAAAAAAAGGTCATGAAGAACCTAGGGGCAGGATGGGAATAAAGACGCAGACCTACTAGAGAATGGACTTAAGGACATGGAGAGGGGGAGGAAGGGTAAGCTGGGACAAAGTGAGAGAGTGGCATGGACATATATACGCTACCAAATGTAAAATAGATAGCTAGTGGGAAGCAGCCGCATAGCACAGGGAGATCAGCTCGGTGCTTTGTGACCGCCTAGAGGGGTGGGATAGGGAGGGTGGGAGGGAGGGAGACGCAAGAGGGAGAGATATGGGGGTATATGTATATGTATAGCTGATTCACTTTGTTATAAAGCAGAAACTAGCACACCCTTGTAAAGCAATTATACTCCAATAAAGATGTTAAAATAAATAGGAATATTTTTATTTAAAAATAAAATAAAATATGTGTTATTTAAAAATAACGAAAGGGGCCTAAGATATGGCACCAAAATGCTACCAAAAGTTGGGCTTGAATAAGGAAAGTTCTGGGAGACATGCTTCCTTCTGTTTTCAACCTTTTTGTTTTATGGTTGTTTTGTTCCCTCTTAACCTGTAAGTAGTTTGCTTGTTTGTTTAATCTATGGAATGAATTTCACTCTCTACAATCTTGGGGTGAACTTCTTCCAAAAATCACCAAGTCTTCTAGTTCTTGTTTTCTCTGTCTTCTCATTACTTGGTAAGTGCCCGAGTCTGAACATGACATAGTGCGTGTCTGTTTAGTGACAGTGGCTGACAAAGTACAGCATGTTTTCCTATACCCTGCCTTCCTGGGGCCTCAAGACCATTAGGAGAAACAGCAACACTTGACACAGCTTTTGTTTGTGCTATACACTCTTCTACGCACTTCACAGACATTAATTCATTATACATTGATACAACAATTCCATGAAGTTAGGTTTAGGACTAGGGTTAGCGTTAGCCATTTACCCAAAGCTATCTAGCTAGTTGGTGATAGAGCCAGGATTTGAACCCAGGGAGTATGGCTCAAGGGTCTCTGCTCTTAATCACTCAAGACAGGGAGCTTTGAAATAGCCAGCTCTCTGTACAGACAGGCAGACAGGCATTAACACCTACACAAATAACTGTGTGGTTGGGGGGAGGGGCTGGAGATGGAGGGTGGACTTTGAAAGACAGAGCTATGGGGGTTCTAGCGTAAGCCCCTTCCCGAATGGAAGTCTCAATCTGGCATCGATCTCTTTCTGAGAGGATGGCAGATGCAGAATGACATCTGAAATCTGAGCGGTCATCTCTGCGTAAATATAGGGCTCAGTGTTGGAGAGGGATGAGAGGTCGCCCTTAGCGAGAGGCAAAAAGCATCAGAGAGCTGTGTGTTTACACAAACTGTGTCTTGATATTTTCTTTGTCTATTGTTCCTGTGGCAGACATAATGATTGTTTCTTCTCTGGGGCATTTATTCAGATGACAAAGCTCAGGCTTTGCCTGGAATTTTAGAGACCCCAGAAGTACAACAAAACTTTGTTGGCCGTCTCATCTAGACCTTGTCCATCCCTCTACCCTTAACACACACACACACACACACACACACACACACACACACACTCTCTCTCTCTCTCTCTCTCTCTCTCTCTCTCTCTCTCTTATGAAGACAGAGGATAAGTATCCATTAGAAATAACAAGTGAGGTACCTGGTACACAGAGGCATTAGTAGCCCCTGTTAAAAGGAATTAACCAAAGAAGGCAGGAGTCATTATGCAAACACAATGAGGGTCCAATGATACGAAGTCCTGAGTGATTCTTTCGTTGGATCTGACTCATGTTTCTCCATTCACTCTAGATTGAGCCAATGTTTACGTGATATGTCTGCCCTCTCGGTCCTATGTTTTTAATTCATTAGTTCCAAGTCTTGGAAACAGGCTACTCAAATATTCAGCCCAGTGAAAGCTCAGGATTATTAATAAGCAGCCAAGTGTTTGAAAGCAGCTGGTCCAAGCTGGGGCACTGCTCACGATGGAGAACACGTGGCTTCCGAACCCCGTCTGAAATGACTGTGTTCTGTCGGCCTGCGCTGCACGCGCTCCTACTCTTAGGCCTCATCCAAGAACAATCAGAGACTATAACTAGAAATCTTCCTCTCACCCCCTACCCAAAACATCCCCACCATTTTTAGAGGAAAGATGACATTTTCCCCAGCCCCGCCTTATCAGAGTGAGGGACTCTCCTATATTCTCCTCGTCAAGATTTATGTATCCTTGTCCCAAGTGTCAGAGGACCACTTTCCTCTTTCTTAGTGGAAATTGCATTCTTAAATATCAGACTTCCCAATTTGCCTCTCATGGTAGAAACCACGGGAAGGAACCCGAGAGACAACACCTGTCATTTGACAGATGAAGACAGGGGGCCCCCAAAGAAGAGGGGACCATTTGAGTATCAAGTTGGTGATGAGATGCTGCCGGTTCGCAGACCAGGGCTCCTTCTGCCCACACCCTCCTCAACTTCCACGTGGCACTGAAGGCGACACTGTGTCACCATGAAGCCCGGGAACGAGCAGAGGCTGCCTCAGTTATTTTCCTAACCCTCCCCCTGACCCCCTTATCTGAACGCACCCCCAGTGGAAGGAAAGCCCATGGGATCTTACTCATTTCCATGTACTCTGGCGTCAGTCCAGTGTATGGTTCCAGGCTGTAGTCTAGATCCCACTGCTCTGGATGCTTTGAACAGGCGGAGTCAGCTTCTCCAGGCTCTGTCTCACCTTTCAGCTTCCGAAATAGTTTCTTTAGCTTCCTGGAAAAGAAAGGGATCCGTCACCAAAAGCCTCTGGAGGAGAGGGTTAGTTCTGCAGACAGAAAGGAGAAAAACAACTAAGTTTTGATACTGGAGCCATCTCTCATCTAAGGACAGAGAGAGGAACACTAAGGAGACTACTTTTCTCTTAAAGACAATCCCAGGAGGTCCTTTGTCGGGATAATAAAAGGGTCATCCCACAAAGGACCAAGTTTCTTCAAACCCGAAGAAACTTTTAATTCTTCCTGCTGTTTGATAGGCAACAGGAGTGTTGGCCCTTCCTGTCAAACATTGAGACAGTCCTATTTTCTAACGGGTGATCTGTCCACCCTCTTCATGGGGAAGGGAGGGTGTTTAGAAAGTAGCAGAAAGATGCCATCTTCCCACCTCAAACATTTTCATGTGTTAATAACATGAATAGCATATGTCCATTAAAGCCAAGCTAAACGTTGTCCACCATTGCTATGGGGTGAATCGTATCCCCCCAAATTCATATGTTGAAACTCAGAGCCCCAGTGTGACCATATGTGAAGACAGGGCTTTTAGGAAGTACTTATGGTTAAATGGGGTGATAAAGGTGGGTCCTAACCCAAAGGATTGTTCGCCTTGTAAGAAAAGGAAGAGAAAGCAATCTCTCTCCACCGTGTGAGGTCACAGTCATCTGAAAGCCAGGAAGAAGGCCCCCACTAGAAACCAAACCCTGCCAGTCCTTACCTTGGATTTTCCAGCCTCCAGAACTGTGAGAAAACACATTTCTGTTGTTTAAGCCCCCCAGTCTATGGTATTAGTTATGGCAGCCTGAGTAGACTAAGTCAACCACATTCAGGACATTTTTGGTCTAGAATGAGAACAAGATAATAATGGCCCAGCCTCTTGGGATTGGTATGAGGATGAAGTGAAACGGTGTTTATACCATCCTTAGCACAATATCTGGACATAGTAAGCATTCAACAGATGCTAGCTATTATTATTTTTAATATTAAATGCTAAGATTAATTAAATGCCTGAAGGTACGATCTTTTCATCCCTCCCACTGATACACAATACACAGAGAATGAAATGAGGATAAGGAGCGAGGTCCCAGTTCTGCTGATTGGTCTAAGAGGAAGATTCTAGGAGACTGTGGAAGGAAAACCACAGCAGAACAGTCAGAAGCATAAACCTGAAATGTTTAAAGGGATTGTGCCTATAATTTAAGGTTGTTATTAACCATTTTACAGCTGGGAGGGCTGAGACTCAGAGTGGCTAGGGGTTGCTTGCAGTCCAAAGCCTGGCATAAGGGCCCAGGTCTTCTGGCTCTGGCCCAGGTTTCTTTTCCTCCACAATTCATGGTCAAGGTCTCCATGAAGGAGACTTGGGATTGACACACGGAATTCATGAGAGCAAGAACCAAAAAGAGAAGGGGAACCGAGCGGATGGGAAGCAGAAGATCACCTTTACTTCCCATGTGAGTCTCCAGCCGCCCCTCTGTTCGAACTTGCTGTGGCTATTACTCATTCAGGGGAAATCTCTGATTGTTCTGGTCTTTAGCTTATAGTTTCTGAAAATTATAAGTTGAAATCTCAGCTCTTCACTCCCTGGTGTGTGACCCTGTGCAAGTCAGATAATCTCTTTAGCCTCAGTTTCCTCCTTACTAAATGAAGATGATGCTAAAAGATAGGTCCTAGAATCAATTCAATGAGATAAGGTATATAAAGGCAATTTAATAGCAACCATGTTTGGAACAAGGTAACTGCTCAATAAATGTTAACTATCATTAGTGTAAAAAAACAAACTAAAGGGACTGTAAAGTCCATGCTCCATCCGAATGCAGGAATCCTCCCCCCCTACACACCCTCACACAAGGCCATCCAACCCCTGTGTAGCTCTTTCCAGAGGAGCAGTCACGAAATCATTAGGCATCTCATTCTATTGTTAGAAAGTGTTCAGGCAAGTAGTGGGAATCCCATGGCTCAAAATAATGTTTTGATCGGTGCCTTGTCTAATAGCACTTGCCATCAAGAAGCCTATAGTATTGCAGTATGGGTAAAAGTCTGATCTTGGATGTCAGGAAGTCGTTCTTTAAAAACCTAGTTTTACAACTCACCAGTTATATTTTCTTGGGCAAGTTATAAAAACTCCATAAGCTTTAGTTTTCTTATCTATAAGATGAGAAAATAAATATTAACTAGCCCATTGGGTCAGTTAAAGGAGATAATCTATGTAACATGCTTAATTTAGGGCTTGGTACGTGTCAAGAGCTCCATAAATATATCGTCCTTATCACTGGCATTCTCATCATCACAGGAGGATCTAAAGAATGAGTTGAGACCCATAGAATCAACAGTAAAATAAAATATTTCATAGTAAGATAGCAAGCAACAATTCTGTGATCACAAGAAATTAAGAAAAGCCTAGATGGAGCCTGAAGATTCTGAAGCCAAATAGTATGAAGTGGCTGAGACCCTGTCTGTGAGTCAGGACAGAAGGACAGGATGAAGAAAAAACATAAAGAAGAGAGAGACAAGAAAAGAAGGAAGGAAAAGAAGGGAGGGAGAGAGGGAAGGAGGAAGGGAAGGTCTACAACCAGAACTCAAATTAAGACTTTTCCGCCAAGTACCAGGAATCAGAAAACTCGGCCACAACTTCAGTAAAGAATAGTAAATGGGGCTTCCCTGGTGGCGCAGTGGTTGAGAGTCTGCCTGCCAATGCAGGGGACACGGGTTTGTGCCCCAGTC